TCACACTCCTCACACTCACACCCACTCTCACTCTCACTCACACTCACACTCACTCACCACCCCCGCCACCGTCACCACGATCCCCACCTTCATCACCACCATCACCTCTCTGAACCCCAATGCGTCTAGATCTCTAGACTTTCTGCTTATACACCTCACACACTGTTTGGGGTCTTTTGCCCGACAATAAAAACAAATCCAGTGGACTGCGTCTACTGAGGTGAAGAAAAGGATGGCCAATCACAACAGCGTCTGGTGGATCTTGAGCAGGACATGATGCTAGAGAGAGAGAGAGAGAGAGTGACCTTCGTGATGTGCTCAGCCATGAGTCATAAGTCACAGCAAATGATGACACCAACTTTTTCAATGGATTGGTTTTGTAAAGGGAACATCTACAGGAAACCATTGTTTTCACACCCAGAACTATGGGTTTCCTGTAGATGTTCCCTTTGTACAGCCAATTTCTGGGACTTCAGGAGCTCGAGGCCTTGAAATCTGAGCAGGCAACCAGCGAAGCGAAATGGACCAAGGACCGTTCGGCAACACCGGTGAAGGGCTCTTGTCCCAGGAATGCACTTGATTCAGCCCTGAAAGAATTCACCCCCACGGGCCGCCAGCCCCGAAGCAAATCTACGAGTTAGCTGATGTGGGGGATCCATGTGTTTGGACGGATCAAGATCTGCAAGTAGCTAGCCGCGCCAGATTTCTGGAGAGATTTCGGTTTGTGCCTTGATCTCAAAGCACCGACCAGGAGCGCGAAGCCCTCACAGCAGTACAAGATCTAAGGCGTGCTTTTGTCTTTGAATTTCACATTTGGATTGAACGTAGCGATCACCTCTGAGGAGTCGACCTTCAAGTCATTCCACGGCACGGTCGTTGGCCAAAAACAACGATAAACACAAAAACAGACCGTTTCATTGGGTGCTACATCGCCACGACAAAAAAAATTGTTCTTCTTGAAGGTTCCAGGGTAGCTTGGCCCCTTGAGCCTGAGAGTCCTCCAACCTGTGTGATTCTGGCCGGTTGAATTTCTGCCCTCCGAAGAGTTTTAAACAGCGACTGAGAATTGACAGTCCCTCTTCCTGAAGCAGGCAGAATTTGGGTGATAGTTCCCTCTACTACGGATAGTAGGATGTGCTGGGTACTGCCCTGCAAGAACCTGGAAAAAGGAGGAGTGTTGCCACTTCTTCGGGCAAAGAAACAGGTCATCTTGCAGATTCACCGCAGGAAAATGGGTATGCCCTCTTCCTGCTATGTACTGAATGGTCAGTGTTTGTTTTCATGGTCATTTGAAATATGTTTACCTACTCATGTTTCTCGTTGTCAACATAGTTTGTTCTGTCTCAGCTTTGCTTGGGGTATCTGTGTAGGCAGCGCATTGAAGACTTGGAAAGGGAGCTGGCGGAGGCCGAGCGGACCTACAACTTGGAACGGGCCGGGCAAATCAAGTGCCTTGGAGTTTGGAAGTACTTTTGGGGTCTTTTTGCGGGTCTTGTTTTGAAGTATGGGTGGAGAAACAGGTGCTACTTTGAATCAAGAAACCCCTTGAGTGGGAGCTTTTCTTTGATTACCCCTTTTCCAACATTCCTTGGCTTCACAGCGCGTAGCGGTAAATACGCGCGCCCAGGTACGGTGAATTGGCACCACTTAAGAAGCGCTTGGAGGAGATGGAAAGCACAGAGAGCACATACGAAGCAGTGACGGAGAGAGACTCAGCTGAAAGTGTGGCTTGTTGTGGAAGATAGGAGAGCTGGCAGGGCTGGCAGGTTTTGCCAACCTGCCTGCAGACGGCGTCCAACGCCGGCTTGCTGGGATTCCAGGAAGCTGAATTTCTCTTTGTTTTACAAATGAGCGGAGGGGCGGTGGGCGACTTCTCTGAAGTGTGTGATCTGGATGGACGGCGAATGCGTCCATCGACGTTTCGCACACGACAGCGGCTCCAGAAAATCCGAGGCGACATTCAGCACATCGTTTCGATGCGCACAGGCCACGTGGTGTTGGGGCGATGCGGCGATGCGATGCGAGGCGATGGTTGGCCGTTCAGCCCCCCGCGCAAAAATGTGCGCGTAGCGGTCGGGGCCTACAACTGCGTCCGGTGGAAGAAGAAAGCGTGAAGATTGGAGACAGTTTAGGAAGTAGCTCGAGAGGGTTTTCTTGTTTCGGGGCGACATTTCGACCTTTCCTGTGTCTGTGTCCTGTCGATGTGATCTCAGTGATCTCCCGAAAGCACGGTCTGACGGTCTGATGTGATCTCCATGCAAGGCATCCCAGTGGAGAAGATGTCCATGGGAATGAAGCAGCGCTTGCTGGGACTGGAAGGCGTGGGTTTTCACTGCCCCGTTAAGGGTTGTTGATGTGGCAGACCCTTCGTTGGGCAACTGGAAGGGGGGGGTGGACAAAAACCCTTTCAAAGGCAGGAATTCAAGGCATTTTGTGGCACTTTTGAGAGTTCCATGAGTGTTTTAGAATCCAAGAGTTTCGTGTGCCTGTGGGTCAGCTGTGCATTTTCCTTTCTACTATACAGGGTGTTCTGAGTGGAGTGCCTTTTGTTCAGACAAACCAAAGTGCATTCTTGCATCAGTAAATTTCACAGAGTTCCACTCTTGCTGTGCCTTAGTCAACCAACGATCGTCAACCTTGCCAGATGAACTCCACGCGCGAGTGGTGGGCCAGGACTGAGGTATTTTGTGCGCGATGATGTTCCAGTCATTTTCTGATTTTTTTTTTGTATAGATTCGTCTCTAGACATGGATTTTCATTTACTTGATATTTTATTATGATGTTCTTTTTTCTTTCTGAGTATCGTGAATCAATGCTCCACCCGAATTCCCAAGCTCGACGGAGTTTTCATCCTCTAAAAAGATCCTCGTCTTCCAGGACGCCGCGGTGCGTGCGTGCGCCGAAGCCGTCCAGCGCTCCCGGTTCGGCCTCAGCCGCTGGGGCGCGAACGGTGTTCGATTCGATTTCGAAGACCCGTATCTTAGAAAAAGCACTGAGAAGAAAGGAAGCTCCACAAGAAGCTACTAGGAACAAGTGCCACGCTAGTAGTAACAGGTGCCTTACTAGTAGTAACAAGAAGCTATTAGGAACAAGAAGCAATGTGGAAGCTTTCATGGGTTTGGGTGTCCGGTTCCTTGGGTGTCTTCCGACACCTGAGAGCTGTGATCTTGGTTGGGGGAGGGTACACGCTTCCGATTCTTGTCCGGTATGACATGTCTTTGAAGGATCCGTTGTTTTTCCTTGTTTGTGCCCAAAGCAACAGATTGACCATAGTGTGACACGATGAATTACTGCAGATCACTACTGCAGCTTGCCACGGTCATGGCAGATACGGTCGAAATCAAGCTTGTCAAACGAGAGTGCTTGCTTGTATGCCTTGACAGTACCAGCAAAACACCACTCATAAAACCAATCTATCACATGCTACCACATTTTCTCAAAAAGCCAATGAGGACCCTTCCACACACTCAGCTTCCCAGGCTCCCCCCTCCTACCTTTTCAAGGCACCTTTGAACCGAACCTCGGACCATTGGACCATGGACGTGACGCCTGGGGGCCGTGCTGCGAGACGAGACGGCTCGGGCAGGTGATCCCAATCGCCCCATCGCGTCCTTCCTCTTCTTGGGACCCACAGGCCGGCTTCGTGAGGTGAAGAAGCGCCGTCCCGCGCCGTGCGGGCGCCGTGCGCCGTCTTCAACGAGTCGTCTTGAGAAATCAAGATCCAGCATCAAGCCGTCCCGACAGTCACTCTGAAAGAGGTTCAAGGCGGCCGAACATATGTAAACCTGAGAGAATAGAGGCGGTGCTTGGATCAGGGAGATATTGATTCAACATGAAGTGGCGAGGCTATTTCCAGTGGCCGCTGCTTGTGCCCGACCATCTCTGGCACATCTCAGTTCTGACTTGCTTCCCCAGAAAATCTCGATCCTGGTGCCCAAACCTTTCAATGAACTGGTGATCACGGTGATCCCCGATCCATTGCTCGTGGCGAGGCGTGGGCAAGACGGAGTTGGCCAAGACGCTGGCGAATCAACTCTTTGACTCGGAGGCAACGAGACGAGACGGAGGGGACGAGTCGAAAAGGGCGACGCATGGAGGCGAGGCAGCAAGAAGGACTTGGAAGTAACCAGCCAGAGGGACTCAGACTGCTTTTGGAACAAGGAATGCTTCCTGAGAAACAGTGAAACGCATGTCCAGTGGAACTAGCTTTGGGGTTGACAAAGCTCAATGGGAGGATTCGGCTGTCAGGAAGGGGCGAGCACTCGCTTGTGCACCCGAAACATTATATTCGCTTGTACACCCCAGAAAGTACTCGGTTGTCCACCCCAAGGCGTCTTCCAGTTGAAAGAGATGATGGGTCTTGTCTTGACAGAGGCCTCTAACTTACTAGCGATGGCCTCCAACCTAGTAAGGAGAAAGACAGAGGTGGGTTTCAAGGTTTGGAAAGGCCTTTTGAACCAGGCGCGGTAGCCTTTAGTGAATGCATCATTGACACGAGGGTCATTTCTTTGCCACCCACTCCATGACCCCCAAGTCAGTTTGTGTGTTCGGTGGGCGCAGATGACTGTTTCTTCGGCGGTTTGTGCACGAAAGTTGATCCAAAAGTGTGGGCGCGCATGGGTGGCCGATCATGGAACAGATCAAATGAGCCATCCCAACTCCCCCTGCACTTCAGTGACTGCACCCAGCCCACCCGTTGGCCAGAACCACTGCGGTTTGCTGGTTGGCTGTGATTTAAGAAGGCTGCTGCGCCGCTGCTGCTGCTGCTGCTGCTGCTGGTTCCTGGACCCCAAAAGCTAGTTTCAGGAGGCCTTGATCCGCGTGGACATGAGCGAGTACATGGAGAAGTTCGCCGTGTCGCGCCTCATTGGCGCGCCTCCCGGCTACGTGGGCTATGAGGAGGGTGGCCAGCTCACCGAGCCAGTGAGGCGATTTGGGGACCGGATCCTCACAAGATACCCCCGGATCAGCGGAATTGAGCAGTGGAAAGCTCGATTCGCTCGATCCTTTCGATCCTTTCGCCTTCGCTTCTTTTTCCCGAATGCGTAGCGAAGGGTTCCCGTTTATAGTTGGGGGTCTGGGGGTTGGAGCTGTGTTTGCATGGCTTGCGTCGTGTCGTCGTCTCTCGTCGTCTCTCGTCGTCTCTCGTCGTCTCTCGTCGTTTGTCGTCGTCGTCGCGTCTCAAATTCAAGGCCATTGGGGGAAGCTTTTGCAAGTGACTTTTCATGGATGTGTCACGTGTCACGTTTTGGAGCCTGGGCGTGTGACTTTTGGAGGAAGTCTCGTACGAAATGCTCGCTTTTGAGACTTGACGCGTGACTTTTGCAGGAAGTCTCGTGCGAAACGCTCGTCTTGCAGCCTCGCAGCGTGACTTTTGGAAGAGTGTCCTACAAGAGTATCCCACAAGAGTTTCCTACAAGAGTGTCCCACAAGAGTGTCCCACAACAGTGTCCCACAACAGTGTCCCACAAGAGTGTCCTACAAGAGTGTCCCACAAGAGTGTCCCACAAGAGTGTCCCGTATGAGTGTCCCACAAGAGTGTCCCACAAGAGTGCCCCGCAACAGTGTCCCACAAGAGTGTCTCACAAGAGTGTCCCTTAAGAGTGTCCCACAAGAGTGTCCTGTAAGAGTGTCCCACAAGAGTGTCCTACAAGAGTGTCCCACAAGAGTGTCCTACAGGAGTGTCCCACAAGAGTGTCCTACAAGAGTGTCCCACAAGAGTGTCCTACAAGAGTATCTTACAACATGTTCCTACAAGAGTGCCCCGCAAGAGTGTCCCACAAGAGTGTCCTACACGAGTGTCCCACAAGAGTGTCCTACAAGAGTATCCCGCAAGAGTTTCCTACAAGAGTGTCCCACAAGAGTATCCCACAAGAGTGTCCCACAAGAGTGTCCCGCAAGAGTGTCCCAAATGAGTGTCCCACAGGAGTGTCCCACAAGAGTGTCCCGCAACAATGTCCCGCAAGAGTGTTTCACAAGAGTGTCCCTTAAGAGTGTCCCACAAGAGTGTCCCGCAACAGTGTCCCACAAGAGTGTCCTACAAGAGTGTCCCACAAGAGTTTCCTACAAGAGTGTCCCACAAGGGTGTCCCACAAGAGTGTCCCACAAGAGTGTCCTACAGGAGTGTCCCACAAGAGTGTCTCACAAGAGTTTCCTACAAGAGTGTCCCGCAAGAGTGTCCCGCAAGAGTGTCACACAAGAGTGTCCCACAAGAGTGTCTTACAAGAGTGTCCCCCAAGAGTGTCCCACAAGAGTGTCCCAAATGAGTGTCCCACAGGAGTGTCCCACAAGAGTGTCCCGCAACAGTCCCGCAACAGTGTCCCACAAGAGTGTCCTACAAGAGTGTCCCACAAGAGTTTCCTACAAGAGTGTCCCACAAGAGTGTCCCACAAGAGTGTCCTATAAGAGTGTCCCACAAGAGTGTCCCACAAGAGTGCCCTACAAGAGTATCCCACAAGAGTTTCCTACAAGAGTGTCCCACAAGAGTTTCCTACAAGAGTGTCCCACAAGAGTGTCCTACAAGAGTGTCATTTGGACATATGTAGCTTTTCGATCGTGTTTGCATTCGGGTTCGTGGGCTCCATCTTGTTTTTTAAATTGGGAAGTCTGACCCGTCCGTCGCAATTTTGGGGTCCCCGTGCCAGTCCTGTGCCTTGGTAGCAGGGTTGTGAAACATGGGGTCCTGGGTAGCTGGGGAGAACGCGTCGACCAGATGGCAGGCGTCGACCTTACAGCGTCATCCTTTTTGATGAGATGGAGAAGGTGCGACAGAGTGGAACAGGATGACGCCCAGTACGGCGTCTCCCTCCACCCATTTCATTCAACAGCCTGTGAGTGGGGTGAGAGTGAGGTCCTGTGAAAGACAACACACAAGAGGCAATCGAGAAGGGATGGCTGCTATCAATCTATTGGATTTGTTTGCTTTATGAAGCCGTTATCATGGAACTGGGTGAACCTCTTGAAAGCCTACTGTCTTGGGTTGTAGATCATCCCAGTGTTCCTCCCACACCGTCCCCCGTGCCCCGTGCCCGTACCCGTAGGACCCGTGTGAACCCACCTCCATCCTCGCTGTTGGCCACGCTCATCGAGGCTCATCCAGACGTCTTCAACCTCCTGTTGCAGATTCTGGATGACGGCCGCTGCACAGACTCGCAGGCGGGGAGTTGCCTTTGGTGGTTGGCTTCCGCAGGTGAACTCGGGCGTGACACGAGATTCTTGTAAGGCCTTTGAGGTAGCCTATCATGTATTGCATTTCGGAACTTGATCATTGAGATCAACTGGGAACGCGCGCATTGTGTTCCACTTCGTTTCTTTGCGCAGTCCCTTCGTTTCCTTGTTGGATCAACTGAAAACCCTTTTCGAAGGCTTGACAGGTTTCCGGTTTTGTGTGTGGCGTCTCCCAATACACATTCAATCCACTATGTTATTGGATCCGGCATTTGTCTCGTGCATGGGGCGATTACAGCAGTTGTTTGTTGCCGCAGCAAGACCAACACCACCTCCCCCACCCCATCACCAAGTGTTGGTGCGGGTGGTGTGTATCCCAAATCATTTCTGCAAAATCTACGGTGGGATAGTGGGAGTTCCAAACATGATCTCGAAACTGTTTTTTACGGCCGCGTTTTCAGAGATTTTGTGCTGAGTCTGTGCTCCCGTCCTCACGCGTTCGGTCATGTTTGGTGTGGTAAGTATCGAGCAAGAATTGAAGCAAGAAAGGTCCCGCTGGCGCAGGGAAGGACTGTGGACTTCAAGAACACCGTCATTGTCATGACCTCGAATGTGGGCAGCGAAGCTATCTCCATGCTGAATGACGCTGAGAGCGTGGAGGCGGCCGTCAAGGCGAGGTCTTTTCTCTCGTCCAAGAGACGACTTTAGGCGTTACGCCTGGAGTATCGTATCGAACCCACCACCTTCTTCTTTTTAAACCCAGATAGAATTAGGCCTGGGCGGCCCCAAGGGCTTGAAACAGCTCGGAAGTACACCAGCTGCGCTGGTGCTGCGGAAGTACACGCCGTGGATGCCTCGAGGCAGCCATGATGCAAAGCTTTCGGCCAGAGCTGCTGAATCGAGTGGACGAGAAGATCATCTTTAAGCCCCTGGGATCTGAGGAGTTGAAGGCCATCGCCAGGTGGGGCAAGTGTGAGTTCTCTTTTTACAAGAGTCCGGAGGTCGTCTTGTTGACATTGCAAACAGGTGGAGCACCAGCTCATTTTTCCAAGGTACGGTCATTTGCTGTTAGATAGTAGTGTCATTCCCCATATCATTTGTAATCATTTGTGCCACACTGTAAACTGAAGTTCGTTTTGAGAGATCAAGGAGGGCCCCTGACTAAAGTTGAGACTTCCGAGGCATGCTTCTCGCAAGTGCCTGGAACGTCAGCCGTCCCTCCCCACTCCGCGTCCTGGAGGCTTCAGCTTTTGCGCGTCCAAGATCGCTTGGCCAGCAGGCCCGGATGGGTTGGCCCGGAAGGACTCGGGGCCGCCTCTGGGCCGCCGTGACGGCCAGGTCTGTAACTCTGGAGGTCACGGATGCGGCGCTGGAGATCATTGCAAAGCGTGGCTACGATCCCACCTTTGGGGCAAGGCCCATCAAAAGGCGCGACGTGGAGGGAACGGGTGACAACCCGGATGTTCCATCGAATGGGCAAAAGAAGGGTCGTAGAAAGGCTGGAGAGTGACTCACCTACAATCATTGCTCCCTTCAGAAAAGAGAGATCGTTTTCAGAAAGAAACGACGGTCAGAGAAGATCTAGTGTCTAGTGACTCGAACAGGATCAGATAAGATGCGTGACTCACTACGAGCGTGACTCACCGCCGGTTTTTCTATCTACGACATGTAGATAGACCGCAACTGCGGTCAGACCGGTCAGAGTCTGAGTTTCTCCACAGATTCGCCAGGTCCATCGTGGCCAACGTGGAGACGCCCTTGGCGCAGAAGGGCTTGGCAGGTGAGTTCCAGGATGGAGATACAGTGCGAATAGATGCTGAGCCAGACGCATGGCTCGGTTCAGGCTTTGAAGGCTTCAAAATCGGGCTTCGATCTAAGGCTACACGAGCGTCTAGAAACCGCATGGTTTTTTTGGGCCTCCGGGCTGACACCGAGGGCTGTCGGATAGCGACACCGACACCGACCAGAAGAACCGAAAAGGGCCTCATGATTCGGTCACATCCCGACCGAACAGGCAAAAGCAGCCGGTTGGCAGACTGGTTCCACCGTCTTGTGTAGATAGCCCAGTCAACGGGGCAGTCCGGTCGGCAAGGATGGCTCTTTGTCTTATAAGAAGGTCATGGACGTCTGACTGCAGCTCGCGAGAGCCGTTTCGTTTCTTGAAAGGTCCAGAGCCATTCAAGTTGAAGGATGGAAAGTGCTACATTCATTTGAGTGTGACAGTTCTTTTCAAGATCTAGAGAGACGCCCTTTCCTGAGACACACAACAATTTTTGTTTGAATTTTGAAGACCTGTTGCACTCAGCCAGCAGACTCTGCAACAGAGGCTGTGTGGTAAGCAGGTCGAGGTCGCTTTGCTTCAAACCTTTTCACCAGGATCAACATCCTCAACGGGCCAGCTTTAGTGATGTTGTCCTCATTCAACTAATTTTCATTGGCCATTTGAAGAGGTCGCGACCCAAAGGCTTATGTGGCTAGATGCAGGGAGTCATAGTGCCTATGGCTGCCAATGTACAGGGCAGGCCTCCGACTCCGCCACTTGGTCACAAGCTATCATAAGTTCCAATGTCACCTGCCAAGGATCTTCCATTGCAGGGAGCCGACAACAGGCTCAGAGACTTATTTGGTGTGACCCGACAGTCGCCTCACTGTTGCCTGCATGCGCGCCGAATGCGCGCTACTCGAGTGATCGTGGATGCAGACTGCTCATGTTTGACATCTGTCTGAAGGAGCTTCTCGAGGCTTCTTGAGGCCCATATTTTTCTTCGTTAGTAATTAGTACACAAGCTCATGTGTGGGCCAAACCGAAGCTCATGGAAGGTTGACCCCAAGTCCACAACGGGATTGGTTTGACCTCCTCCTTTTGTTCTCTTGACTTTTCTTTGGGGCCTTCCCGGAAGCCAGCATGTCGGGAACAACACCCAGCACTGAGCACTTTGGGCCTCCCCATGGGTTTGTGAAGGTCACAGTCTTTTGGGAGTGCCACCTTTCCACTCGTGATCTCGCCCCAGCTCGATGGAACTGGAGGTGATCTGCCACGAGCGCATCTACAAGCGGGAGGATCGTTGCAACTGCACCGAGTGCCCCGGGAATGAGCGAATCCTTTCCAGTGCCAAGAAACTCATGGGACACATGGCTCAAAACCCATGGGACACGTGGCGGAACCCTTTTCATCCCTGTTCTCTTTCTAGTTACTGTATAGCTTTTTGAACCTTGCTTCGGTCAGAAGGACCCTCCGGGTGCTCCCGGGCGTCATGCCGTTGGCTGTAAAGGTCTCCCCACTTTGCTCCCGGGTGTGAATCCAGATTTGTGCAAAGCAAAAGCATGTGGGGGCCTTGGTCGCGGATTCCCATTGCATGCGAACACGGGGGGCAGCTTTGATCATTTTCATTGTTGACTGTCCGCAGGTATTCCTGGAGCGTCAAGCGCCGTTTCAGTGAATTTGCGCAGTTGGATGCGGGTCTCCGGTCGCACTGGCAGAGTTGGAGCACTTGGCACTTGTCGCAGTTCATGTCCAGCCCAGTCAGTGACTGGTTCGACGTCTTGTTGGTCGTCCCCAATTGTAGGAACATCAGTGGATACGCATGAAACTCGGAGGGTGGCGGAGCGGTTTGCATTTGGTGCTGCACTAGCTGAGGTGGCTTGAGTGAGGTGGATGGGTGAGAACTGAGATTGTCCGTGTTGTTTTCAAGCACTGCAGCATTTGAGCTGGCTTAGCAGAACATTTGGCTTGTCCAACTGTGTGTTTTCATTTGTATCAGAGGCTGCTTACGGTAGTTTTGTTCTGAGATTCAAGGCTCCATGCGCTGAATTTCGCAACTTTCTCGGACACTTCAGAGAATCAATAGGACACTGAGATAATCGCGAGAACTTTGGTCTGCTTGATCAAGCCATGGCTTCTGAGTTTGGCTAACGTGATGCCGACAAATGTGGCTCAGGACCTTCAAGCGGTCTGTCAGGAGTTGACCGTGTCGTCTGTCACTGCAGGTCTTGGTAACAATCTGAGCCATAGATGGCCTTTTACACTTTTGGATGGTTGATCATGAGGGGAGGTCCCCCGGGGTCGTTGGCCCACCATCGCCACAGCCTACACCGGTGCAGCAGCGAACGGAGCGTCATCGCTGCTCCAACGGCCTGTTCCCCCCGTATACACTCTGCGGGTTCAGAAATGGCACATGCAGAGAGCAAAGAGAGCAGCAAGAAGGAAAGACGAATCGAATCTCAGACATGTAGACTGTTGATGAATAAACCCCACCTGCCCAGAATGGGCTTTACATCTCCATGTTAGGGGGGGGTAGCTGTATTCGTTAATCCTCTTTATCACATGCCCACCATGTGAGCTCGTTTGAACTCGTCACCGCGCCTGCGGAGGCTGCCCAGTCACCGCTCCTCTCCCACCTGGCCAGGGTTCCCAGCGCCCAGCGCGCGTTTAGCTTCCGGACCACATGGGATCTGGACGGCTCCGGAAGACTGGTGTTCTGTTATAAAAAGCTACTAGTAGCAAGAAGCTACTAGGGGCTCCTGGCATCGCTACTAGGAGCAAGGACGCTACTAGGGGCTCCTGGCCATACTACTAGGAGCAAGTAGCTACTAGTCGCAAGAAGCTACTGGGTGGAGGCCATCGCAAGTAAGGTTGGAGGCCACTGCTGCGACCGTAACAAGAAGCTGCTAGAATTCTCCCCTCCAAAGACACTGTTGCAAACGGTATGCCGGTCTGCAATCGTCAGTCGACGGTAGACCATGCAAGCAGAAGAACGCACGGGAGGAGGTTTGAGATGGTCAATGTTCAATGTTCAAGAGCTGCAGAAGTACGAGCCGGGATTGAAGACCACGTAATTACTTCGATCAATGTCAAGTTTAGGTTTATGTAGGCTTGAATGCTCGAGCCATGTAACTGACTCTTTGCAAAGCAGGCTTTGAACCAGAAGGAGAAGCCAGAATCTTTGCTCAGAACCCTAAAGGCGGGACAGTCCAAAGGGCCATGCCATGCTACGTTGCTCTACCATGCCACGGTTGAGCGGGTGTAGGCGCTATGATCAGTTCGGATCCGAGCTCTACCGATGCAGGCCACGCAGGAGCCCAAAGTGATCTCCTGGGTCGCAACAGGCGGCGGCTTCACAGGAGCACCTTCACATGATCTTGGTCTACGAGAACGAACTCTTCCAGGGTCCATAGCTATGTGAAGGATGGGGGGGCCCCCGTAGCAGAAGATCAGTCATGATGGGGTCATGAGTCATAGACGAGGTTTCTTCCGAATTCCAAGAGCCACATCCCACTGGATCCACGGTTGATATGATGAGCTTTTGAGTTCAAGTCTCCCAAGCTCATGATTCTTTTTACCCGGTTCCTTGGGTGAACTCGTGCCAGGTGTGTGTGAACTCGTTTGTTTTGCACTACCACTCGAGCTCGCGATATCGGCCCCCACCCCTTCGACGTCCGATTCACGCCGGCGCACGCGGCGCACGCGGCGCACCGAGCCATCCGAAGTCTTAAAGCTAAGGGATTTTGGGCCCCATCCAGTCAATCAAGAGGATGTTTGCAACTGTTTCCTGTTGTTTCTTTTCGGTTTTCTTTTTTGCCTCCTGCAAGGTGGCAGACGAAAGAACACTTCTAGGTGGTCTCGACCTGTGAGGCTTTCAATACATGGTTGAATCGGGCTTCTAAACGACTGAAGAACCAAAGGAAGAACATTTTGGCTGTGCGGCCGTAGCTTCCAAACTTCGAAGCGCAAAAGCCTCCAACCACATCTGGAAAGATCCGCCCCCCTGCTTTGGCCAACCTCCGAAACACATCGCTCCACGTGTCGTTCGTTGGAGTCATACGCCGGTGTGACCCCCTCAGTGGCCTGAAGAGGCCTGGAGCTGAGGGCTGACCAGGTTCCCGCACGCTCGGCCGGGAGCGCCGAGCGAGCGGCCGGGAGGACGGAGCGGGAAACGGCGCGGGAGGGTCGCAACACCCCAGACATCCTGAGTAGGTGAAGATGATGATAAACGTTGATGTACGCAACATGTGGGGCCGTAGGTTTTCGCGTTGGACGTTATGATCCATGGGCACGTACCTTTCATTGGTCTCCCACTGGGCCTTTCCACGTTTCTTCCACGGTAGGTAGATCTGCTCTTTTCCGCCGGGACCCGACCTCCAAGGCGGTGGCGCTCTTCAACCGCTTTGCGGATCTAGGCGCCTTCCGACGGTCGCACGCGTGGCCGGGCGTTCACGGGCGTTTTTCTATGTTTTTCTTATGATAAGATCTTGAAGATGCCGAGAACGAAAAACCTGTGGTGCCTATTAGGGATTTTCACTTCATCTGTGCAGGGTTTGCCTTTCTTTGGGATGCCAGGCGGTCCCTGGACAGAGGACAAAGAGGAGGCAGGTGGGATGTTCAGGGTAGCTGGGTAGTGACTGCAAGTTCTTCACAGGTGATGCAGGTCCGATGAAACATGATGAAACCGATTCAACACGATGAAACGTGGTGAATTTCCCTACAACGGGTCTTGGTGACACCTGCCAAGACCGGAAAACGAAGGCAGCTGCCGGCATCCTGGGAGTTCGGTACCTCAGTGGTTGATGACTCTTTTCATGATCCCAACAGTCCAAATGGTCGGCGCCTGGTGCCTCATGTGCACTGCCAGTGAACGTTGGATATTCCCAGTGCATCCCAGTGCTGTGTTGTCTTGGACCAGACAAGCGTTCTGGGTGGCGGCGCTTGGCTTGTGTGGGTCAGATTCCCTCTCAATACACTCAATACACGGCTTTTACCTGGGAGAGGTCGAGAGAGAGAGAGAGAGAGAGAGCACACAGGAATTCAGCTGACATGTTCCCGAGGGTGTTTAGGGTGACACAGCATGGTTGCCCTGTTGCCTTTGAGCTCATTGAGGCTCTCTCAGAGCTGCTGCGCTTGCATGAAGAGGAGCCAAAGACATAGTCAGGATGGCCACGATTCTCAACAAAAACTCGCAAGGTACTTACATTTGCATCGCTATTTGGTTGGAGGCCATTGCTATTAGGTTGGAGGCCATGTCTCTTGGTTTGACAGGAGAAGCTGACCTTGCAGGAGCTGTTGCGCAATGAGGCTGCGGCTGCCCGGAAAAGATGTTGTGGATGTGTCAGAGGTGGTCAACGGGCTACATGTGGCCTTTTTTGAGATCCTTTTCTCGATCTCAACAACTCATAGCAACTCTAAGCGATCAACATGTCTGATCAGCCCTTGACAAGGCAGCTGTTGCACAAAAAACACTTTCAAGTATAGGTGTGCTTTCCCTCGAACTCTTTTTTCTGCGCCTCCTTTGCTCGCAGGTGTATTTACAGCAGGTGATTCATGAGCACAGTCACGGTCACCATACCAAGTGCCAGTACCACTCACCTGAGTGCCAGCACGGGTCGTACTCTCGAAATCTCACGAAGTCGAGGCATGGTTTTCAGAATGTTGTTTCTGCCTGCGTATACCTGTGCATTCTGCAACCTCCGCAGTGCGACAGGTGGAGACCGGCAAGCTGCGCTGGTCTCACACCCCAGAATGGGATAGGCGATGGCCACCTGGGTCCACCGCAATGGGTGTGCGTCGCGGAAAAGATAAAACATCTTTACTTCTGAAGATTGAAGCAATCCCTGCCAAGACTCAACTCTTTTTGATCTTTTTGCTCAACTCCTTTTACTCATCTCCAGATAGCGTTTCAGGTTCTCCTTTTTCGAGGTTTCATTCGAGCGTGTCAGCACCGATACCATGGGACCTACCGATCCGAAGATGTGCCACCGATCCGCCTCGTCGGCGAGAAACAGTTCTTCGAGGCTGCGACAGTTCTTGGAGCTCTTGGCACGGCCCGTTGGAGCCCTATCATGAAGTGACGAGCGTCAGGAATGTAGAATGTTGGATGAATGAAGAAGTTTTGCAATCCAACTGGTGATGTAGACTGGGAAATGTAGACGGTTTTTCTTTGGATCACCAGTCTACATTTCCCTGGCACTTGGGGGAAGCTCCGCTGCCTCAAGGTTCATTTGCCAGCTCCGCTGGGCGCAGCAGCCAAGGGCTGCGAGGCCAGGGCAGTATTGGCATGGCTAGATGAAGTCCTTGAAAGTGTGGAGCCCCAAAGGTCCAAAGGGTATTTGTTATTCTTACCTTTCTTTTCGAGTCGAAGCTGTCTTTTTGAGGCTCCTCCTGTGTCACCTTGATCCATCCATCCATCCGTCCGTCCGTCCGTCCGTCCATCCAAGGAATGGCAAAATGATCCTTGAAGCAGTCAACCAGTTAGTAGAGTGGTAATACGGAATAGGCCCATCTTTTTCTCAACTCGCACGTGTGTTCCCGCAGTCGTTTACCTTTGTTTACGCTTGCTCTTTTCCGTCTTTCATGCCCTTGGGCAGGTGTTGGAGCAGCTGTGTCGCGGTCAGGAGGACAGAACACAACGTGACCTGTTGCTGGGTGAAAAGTCTGACCATTGTCCGTAGCGTGTGTTGGCTCAAGCTCCCTTTTCGAAAAGAACCTGAGCAAAGACAACAAGGCCCCCAGTAGTTGAAGGTAGATAACTCCAATAGAGTCGACGTAAACATATCGACTGAACCTGTCGCCGATTGGTTAAAGGGAAACTCTACAGGAAACCATAGTTCTTCACCGGTTTTCCATGGGTTTTCCTGTTGATTGCCCACCCAGTCTGGGACGCCCCGGACGGCGCCCGGGACGGCGCCCGGGACGGGCCATCCCCAGGAGTTGACGAGCCTGGTACATCGGCAGCATGTTCTGCCAGCAGTCACCCGGCGTGAAACGAGGGCTCGGAACTGGGATGTGTTTAAAGTCAACTCCTTTTCCATTTTTGTTTCGGGGTGGGATGACGATGATGACGGATAGGCCAGCATTCTTCTCTCGGACTTTGGGTGCAATGGTGCTAATTGACACTCATCCCATGTGCATCCTGTATTTACATCAAAGAATCGCTGAAAAGGTCTTCAAGCGGCGCGAACTCCGAACGGTTGAAGATCGTTTGTTCGGCCGAGTGCAGCGTAAACATACTGCTAGAACCAAGGGAACCGTTTCCATTTGCTTTCGCCGAGCCTACGAGATCGTGGGTGCACACCCAGGTAAGCTCTCTGCTGCTTGCTGCCACCAAGGCATGGCCAGAGTCGCATCTCTGGTCGTTCAGCTGATATTTTTGGAGTCTTTGTGAGCTGACGACTGGATTTCATTGACCTGATTTGATTGCAAGGGGAGGACCAGAAGGGTTTGGACTGAAAGCAAGGCTGGGCCTAGCTCTTCCTGGCTGCACTTTGCCACGTTCCTTGCCAGGGGTCCTGAGAAGATACACAGAGTTCCCTCCGGGGTAGCAGTTGCAGATGGGTGGGCAAGTTTATTCACCCACATGCCAGTTCTCAAGAGCGAGTCTTGGTCCGGGATCGTACATTGGCTGACTTTGCGCATATCAGCGCATATCACATGTATCAGCTGGTCTTACCAGCTCCAAGTTGTTTGATTACTTGAGGTCAGTCTGATGGAGGCTTTGATGGCCGAGAAGGACCTGAGTAGGCGTTGTAAGCATTTTTGGCAAGGCATTTCAACCACTGATGCTTTTCAACAGCTGATTGGATGATCACATGATCTAATCACGGCTCCCCTAACTTAGACCATCATCATCCAGACTCTTTCCGTGCCACGTGCAGGCCGTGCACTGCAAGAAACCGAGATGCCCACAAGCCCGCAAAGGGGAGCACGGCATGCTGAGTACCTCTCAAGAACTCAGTAAAGGCTTTGTAACTTGGGTAAAAAACGAGCACCTCCATATGCTTTGTCATGTGGAACTTGGGGCGTTCTTGCTCAAAAACCCGATCGATGGGTCGGTCTGCCACTCCAGTCCGCTTCACGTGGCAGGACACCGATCGCTTCAAGTTGGCCGATCCGGAACTCTTCATCCCGGTTTGGGCCAGTGGGGAACTGAGTTTTCGTGGGGGAGGAAGTGAGGGAGTGGCACCAAAAACCTCCACTTGTCAAGGGTACACACCCCAAACTCACAAGGACCATGATGAAAGCAAAGAGTTTCGTTCGGTCAAATCCACTCAAGAATTTCCGGCAGAGGTGGCAGGTACTGGATACTAGCTGGCACCTTTCCTTTTTGCTCTCCCCACTGTGGGAAGTTTGTCTCAGAACAGACTGAGGCCGGAAGGTGGAGCCTCTAACCGACTCGCTACTGAGTACTTTACGGTCCTCAGCGCAGGTGGGACGGGGCAAAGAAAGAAAAGGGGCGGAAGGATGGTAGTGGAAAGATATGAATGTGACTTCAAAGTGCTAAGTCATGGAGTCTAATTCATTTGAACATGCAAAAAGACCATGCTTCACAACCTGAGAGAGCGTGACGAGCGGTACTGCTTGTTGGGGCGAACATCAGGGGATGATAGCTGAGACCTGGACCCTTGGTTGGTGAGATGTCAACCTGCCAGGGACAGAACCCTTTGTGAGGACCTCAGGGTTTGGGCGGTCGGATTTGGACATCATATGCCAAGGGATAACGAATGATTGGCATCTGGATCCAAGGTGTTTTTTTCTATTTTTTTCCATCATGCATTCGTGCGGTGGGATTGTGCACACCACACACAAGCAGAAGGCTTCCGCAACCGAAGGATTTGTTACCTGCGACGGAGCTTTGACCTTTCTGAGTTTGCCTGGCGCTTCCAGATGACTTGTTCAATCTCAAACTGGGTGTATTGAGGCTGCAGTGCTTGTCCCTGCAAGCATTGACCCACCTGCTCCGGCATCACTCGCCACAGGCGAGCCGGAGGGGCATCTCCCTGTTTCAGAAAGAGCCTGATCAGACTTTGGAGACGAATTTTGGGCAACACCCCTTATTACTCTGGTGGGGGCACTGAATTCACCGCATTGGGTCGCTTTTGCTGCCTTGGTTTGGCCAGTGGGGCCGGTCACCTTCTTTTCGGCGCGCCTCGGCACGAGCAGGATGCGTTTGAGTTCAGAAATCCATGCGCCCTGCAATGACACTGTAATGTGGGGATCCAACTACTGCCCAAGAAGGTGGTTGGGGTGGGCTTCAAACTTCTGTCATCTTCTGTCCCTAGCTTCTGAGGATGTTGGATCCCGAGGATTCAGGTTTGGCTAGCTTTCCCATCATCCGGAGAGGGAGGTTTATTCTTCATCAACCGTGCCACTTGATGTTTGATCCGGACTTGGCAGGGCCCAGGCTCCTCAGTTGCCCATGCCACCCTTTGCGCAAAAAGAATCACGAGACAAAGGCCATGACACCACGGACTTTTTCAGACAAGGCCTTGGTGGTGGAGCGCTCCGATGCCCCCAAGATGAGCGTGGAGACCAAGAAGACTGAGAGATGGAAGAGTTTGGTTTTTATATAGTTCTGCGTGAACAAAACAGATATGCCCAGCAGTTCCAAAGGTCTGCCTATTTGTAAAGCCGGTGACGGATATAGGGATATCGGCGATCGGGATATCCAAAGGTTTGGAACAATCTTGAAAAAAGATCACTGACAACACTCGCCGATCAATGATCCTTTCAACCCACCTGTGTCCACTTGTCCAGCTGATGGGCTGGGGTTTGAGTCAGCCAAGCGCAAGGCACGCAAGCGCTCAGTTTTCCATGTCGCGCATGCGGTCGTGTCGACGGATGCTCAAGGGCCCTGCAGGCCAACACATGTTATACGACAACCAATCCTCTCCGGGATATGGTTTTCACATGCCCTCCACGGGTGCAGTGCATAGCTGGCCAGCGGTTTGCTTCGACTCAGAATTTCGTGTGAAGCCCTCATGCGGACGCACTCTCCGTCCAGCCTCTGCGCGCAAGCAAGATACATGGCCAGATCGACGCCAAGGCCAAAAGCAACGGGCCCAATTCCAGCCGCTGTAAGAGACCTGACAAAAATATTAGCGTGCTAGGGCCAGGAAGTGTGCATGACAGTGATGCCTTCGCACTACGTAGAGATTTGGAATTAGACAGCCATGCCGCTCCTTAGAGCACCACTCACCAACGGATGAAAACAAGTGCTTGGTGTTTTCTTGCAGTTCGATGTGTCTTGACAGTTAAGCCGCTGTTCCCTGCAAGCTGAGACAGGACCGTGTCGCATCCGCGAGTTTTCGCTGAAAGACAAGCAGAGACTCCATGCTTCTCCAGACAATCGGTTCAACAAACGCAGCCCAGCTAGATGGATCAACTTTTTCTTTGGCGAAGCAACGCTCAAATCAACTCTCCTGCGAAGCTCTTTCTAGCCCGAAGGTAAGATCTTGAAAACATTTTTTTGCCGCAATACCAGAGATGTTGCAAAGCTGGTGTTTGAAACAAGAGCACGAGGCTGTAAGCTCAAAAATGGGGCGGGGCCAAGATAGGAGTTCAAGTTCTCAGCTGTTGACAGCTCCCAGAAAAGGCCGGGACATTTAGCGGAACCCGGTCAGTTGTAGCCTTCCGCCGCTGCTACCGTGTAAAGCCAGCGAAGGATATAGGGATATCCAATGGCGTGGAACAAACTTGAAAGGTGTCACTGGCAACACTCGGTCCGTTCAACCCACCTGCGTCTTCCTTCTTGTTCAGCTGACGGGCCGGGAGTTGAGTCAGCCAAGCGCTACGCACGCAAGCGCTCAGTTTTCCATGCCGCGAATGTGGTCGTGTCGACCGATGCTCAAGGGCCCTGCGGGCCAAGATGGCAAGCACACATGTTATACGACAAACAATCCTCTCCGGGATACGGTTCTCACACCTGTTGGACATGTGGCCATGACCTACTCACTTTGGGTCTAGAAACCACCCCTTTGGAACTCCTGGGGTTGTGGTTTTGATGGGGCTTCGGAGTGGCTCAGCAACTGGGTTTTTGTTTCTCGTTTGAGTGGACGGACGCACCTGGGTGTGGGCAAGAAGTTACAAAAGCATTGCAAGGGCAGCCCAGAAGACAACTTTTGAGGCAAGGCACTTCAGAGATGAAGATGCACCGAACAAGTTTCATATCATACGTGGTTTTTGGTGCAAACCTCCACAGGCACTTCTTGTTTGTTTTTTGTCCTGAGCTTCACATCCCTGGTCCTTTGATTTGAGATGGAGATGCAGGTCATCTTGGATCGTTAACTTGCCGTTGATCCTATGTTGCCATATCGTGTGGCAGTCTATGTGGCAAAAAAAATTGCTAAAAATCATCTACCTAAATTCAATCGTTTGCGGATGCCACCTTTTGCCGCACGTTTTTCAACTATAATCCCAACGCTTGCTCAACGGTTTTTCAACGGTTTTTCAACGATGTTTCAACATGTTTCAACGACCCCTTTGTGGAATACCGGAATACCATTGTTTTCATTGTTTTTTAAATCAAATGCAAATGTACGTTGTTGAAGGTAAAATTTCATCACAAGGTATAATATGGAATATGTTTGTCTCTTTGAGGCCTCGACCTCATCTCACGCTGCGCTTGCGATGAGGAGCCTACGCAGCGCATCCAGGAATAGAGCCACTAGTGAGGTTGAACCAAGCATTTGAAGAACGTGGCTGACGTTTATTTTTCTAAACCGGCAAATCGAGTTTGGTCAAATCTTTTCCAAATCTCGTGAGCGTAGGGACCTAATTACACCTTGATTGAGTTGGTTCGTGTGTTCTCTGGTCATGCCTTGGGACGCGAGCACAGGGATAGCGGCAGGACAGAGGTGTTGGACAGCTTTCATTGGGTCACCAGATCACGATTTCAGAGCAGGAGAAGCTGCTGGTTGCCTTTGAGTTTCTCTTGTTGGTGGGCCTCCCTGAGGCTGGATGCAAAACAAAACCAAGTTCGCTAAAGTGCTGGGCAACTTAGCCGTTAGGGCCTAGGGCCTAGGGCCTTTAGGGCTTGGGCTTGCCAGATTGGGTTTTGTTCTCTCAACTGCCTCTGCGAATGCATGTGAGACCTTGAGAGAGAGATTAGAGAGAGAGTTGTGGAAGTTCCAAGGCTGAAGACGGGAGAAGAGGAATTGGCTGTTTAAAGGCTGTACTACTGTACTGAGTACTGTACAATAAAACGGTATATAGACAGTTTAACGGCTGAGCATTGAGCATGTATTTTGCTTTGACCTGCGTTGGAATTTGGCCGAGCTATCAATGCAGAGACAGACTTCAATCGCAGGGACATGAGGCAGCTGCACTTGTTGGGACCTCAATTCGCCGGAGACTGCAGTACTCAATCTGGATGTCATTGGATGTCATCTAGACTTGTGAGTCTTATTTAACATTTACACATTTGGCCTTTTTTGGGTTGTCCATTTTATCCTCTACAATGCCAATACCCTTTGTATACAACTTGTGGTGTCATAAGTTTCCCTGTATGACAGCCTTCCATTCTTTCTTGGTGGGGCGCCTGCAGCCATTAGCGGCAGTGCAAGAGGAGGGCCGGCATCACACAGTTCTGGCTGCACCCTGGCGGCACGTACGTGGCGCAACGCGTGGGTTTGGTAGGCATGTCTTGGACGGCTTGGACTTGTCTTGGGCTTGGTGTTCCCCATGGCAAGTCTCTTAGCGATACAGCCTCCTTGGTGCCTCAGTCTTCCCGAAGAACAAACGGCTGTTCTTGGCCAAAACGACGGCTACCAACTTGAGACAACATGTGTGAGGACTTTCACGTTACTTCATGTTGCGCAGCCGGAAGGAATACGTTCTTTCTGGTATCCAAATTCCAAGTCCCAAGTTCAAGTGAGGTAGTTTCCAAATAGGGAATTGACACGTCTTGCATGAGGATCAGGGACCCGGTAATGGGTGGATCGATTTGGAGGTCGCTGCGACGATCTGTTACGCTTGTCCCTGATGGTGTTTCAATACTCTTAGGTTCCGCCATGATTCGTTTGCTGCTCGCAGCTTACATCCTTGGCGCATTGGCCGCCAGATCTGGCAAGGGAGGCAGACGTTTTTTCGCTGGAATGACGCCGTTTTCGCTGGTCTGAGCTCGTGAGACAACTTCATTTTGTCTTTCAACTTTCAGATCATGGACTGGAAGACCACTGATTTGATCTGTGTATAACTCCAGGAACCACTCGTGGATTTTGCGGAAGACACATCACGCTTGCCCGGGCTGTTGGATGTCACAGGTGCTTCTCCAAGTATCTCAATCTTGTCTGGTCCACCGGATGAGGCTGCTTTCTCGCTGGGTCTACCGTTTTTTCAAGGTGAAGGGCGGGAAGGGTGCTATGAGTCAGTTCTTTCTGAAGCCTTTAGACTGGGCGCAAGTCGCCTGGTTTGTGTACTGTGGTTCCAAAAAAAAGCAAGCTGTCGAAGTGCAAGAGCTACGACTGGCTTCTCAGCAAGGTCTCACTGCAAGCTTTGGGCTAGCAACATCCACTAGCCACATCATGAGCCTTGAAACCCTTGTGTTTTAGTTGGTCGAACGTTGCACGTTGTCCGGAAGATGAGCGCGCATCACTTTCATGCATTCCAAAGAAGCTCCTCCAAGGCATCTAGGGATCATTCGTGAATGGTATAAATGTCCTATCGGATTCGTTGGAATGGACCTATACAATTGAAACAAGAGTATCCTAATGAATACATGTTCGGACATTTATACAATGAACATGTATAGCTGTCCTAATTGTACAATGTATAATTGTCCAATCATGAATGGACATGTGAAACAAGAGTATCCTTGGCAGAACAAGTAGATGAGAGGAAAGCAGGCAGAGCCAAGCATGCAAACCAGCGAGGGGTATTGCTTCCACACACACACACATAATATATATATATATATGTACATACACATGTACATGGAGGTATATGGAAGCTTTTTACGCATATAATAGATTTAGATGTTGATATAGAGCAGATTCACCACCCCAAAAGCTCCACACCGACCAGCTTCTTCGGCATGCGCGCGGCACCGACCGGGTGATTTGCTCGAGGCTGCCTGGCAGGGTGTGAAGGTCACGGATGTGATGCCCGGCTTCCGGGTGCAGGACGCTCCATAGCTAGGGCCGGGGGGGTTTCTTACTACCGGCACCGGCATGGTCATCCGGTGTGGAATTTGATAGAGATGTTGGATGTTTCTCATCCAACCTGAACTGATGAACACTCTTCCCAGGTGTCGAATGTTCGATTCATCTTTGGGATCTTCACCGCGCCATGGTGGGACCGTGGTTGGGTGCCACAACGAGGTTCGTTCGCACCAGGAGATGAAGCCGACGCAGTGCTCTCAGCAGGTGCCAAAGCTATATTGCTTGCTTGGGGTGGACTCAGAGTGGCTGCAGAGTAGGTGAGCTGCTTGGTTTGTTCGTTTGCTTGCTTTCAGGTTTGGTTGGTAGGTTTGGTTGGTAGGTAGGTAGGTAGGTTGGTTGGTTGCCCTTCTCGTGGCTTTTCTGCACCTCCTTGGACATTCGATCGCCAGGTTCGCCGCGGAGATGCTGTGCGCATCTTGTTGCGTGCACAGACTGGGCCGCAACACGTGGAGGCCTGGAGCAGTGTCCTGGATCAGTGAGGGCTCGAGCTAAGCAGCTATGGTCCATATGGTGTCCTTTTTGGCTGTAAATACCAGAGTGATGCTCAGGTTGAAGACGAAAGGAAGACGAACCATGTAAGCGATTTGTTCAGCTTGCAGCGCTTTGGATGGACTTGGTGATGAAAGAGCTCGGGGCATTGATTCGGCTTCAGGAAGGAGTGAGAGGTCGAAAAACCTTCAAGTGAGTAGAGATACAACTGAATTCTTTACACCAGATCGGTCATTTCAGCTGAGATCTGGGAGAGGAACTGCAGCAGAGAATCCACAGTTCTTTGGGGAAGGGTTTTTTTGCCACCAATTTGGGGTTGGGAGATCCATGGCTCATTCCCTCCGTCCGCCCAGCAAGCCACTTCGAAAGACGATGCTGAGCAGAGCTTCATCCTGGGCAAGCAACTGGTCATGGAAACATTGGTTCGGGAAGACCGAAAAAATGCGTCCAAAAACATCCTAAAAACACAACTGGGTGAGTCCCACCGATCACTTAAATACGCCTGTTGAACAAGTCGACCATTTTGAACGAACGGCCGCAACGCGAAGCCACTGGTGGCTTCTTCGTGTTGACACTTCTTCACCGTTCGGTGAAGGCAACACGACTTCTTAGAAGCTACTAGGAGCAAAGGGCATCGCTGCTAGGAGCAAGGACGCTACTAGGGGCTCCTGGCCTTACTACTAGTAGCAAGAAGCTACTAGTAACAAGAAGCTTTTTATGGAAGACAATTTGTTTCGAGGTTTTTGAGCTGCTTCAATGGACTTCTTTTGTGTGCTGCATAGGCAGTCCGACTGTATGTTTGCAAATAGACATGCAGAAGTTGAAAAGCATGTTCCTCAGCATTCAAGTGCATGCATCCGAATGCTTGGAATCTTTGGCTTTCACTACGCGACCACTCAAACTACTCATAGATGCTGCTGATCAAAGAGGGCCCCACAATGACTGGGAAACAGTGTATTTTTTTCAGTGACTCTTCCCCTCATTGGACATCTCTCACCTTGCCAAGGGCCACAAACCCGAGGGCTTTTTGGATGGTTTTGCCATGAAACCCAGAACGTCCTTTCAGGCACAACATCCCTGCAATCAACAAGGGGATGGTGGGCATGTGTCCAGGACCCCGTGCGGTTTGGTTTCTGTTCGGAGAAGCCGGAGACGAGAGATGGCAACGCCCACATGCGGCTGAAGTGCCAGTGGTCGCCCCACAGGTCCTGTTCCAGAAAGGAGATCTACTTGACGACCTTGTATGAATCGTACCACGAACGCGAAGCCTGTGTTTGTTGACTTTGAATATATAATTGACTTAGACGGCTTCCATGACGCAGATCCAAGTTGAGTCTAGCCGGGATCCTGATCCTGACTGCGATCACTCAGACGGACTTACGGACTTACCAGACATGTTTGATCACCCAGACGTTCTGCGGTCCCCTGCTTTTTGGCGCAGGAAGTGTGCGTCGGATTTCAGTCGATTCACACGCCATCGACTACACTGTGAACTTGGTGGAAATCAAAAGTGGTGAACTTAGCGACTTTCTACAACTTGAAAGGTGATGGCTAAAGCTGGCAACATTTGGCAACTAAGTAACCAAACAGCGCTTTCCAAACAGCGGTGCCATGGATGAGTTCCCATGGTCCGAAGAGTGAGAGAACGCCTTTTCCACCCGTTTGGTTCGTTTTGGCTTCGAATCCTGGCAAATACGAACCACTTTCTGAGAGAGTGCAGAGAGTGCAGGATTTGCCACATCTTTTTTTCTGAGGTGGGCCACTACGAATCAAAGATGTGCTCTGAGAGCTGACAGATCTTAGAGCTGTGGAGAGTCTCTGGATACTGTACCACTTTAGACTTGCCACTTGGCCAGTCCTTTAGAGTTATCCTATTATGCTTTACATCTACCACATGTTTAATGTTTGGTTCAGCTTCTAATTCAGTTAGCAAGATAGGCCGACTTTCCAATCTAGGGATTCGTTCCTGCGAAGACTGGATCCATTGATCCTTGGCGTGGTAGTAATTCGGAGGTGAAGCAAACCACCTCGCAGGACAGCGGTTAAACTTCAATTATATAAACACCAAAGCCACTGGTTCGTAGAGGAACGCAGCTTTCCAAATATTTAGTTTCACATTCAGTGTTACATGTAACAGATTGTGATTGTTGCTTCCAGCCAAACCTGTGCTGACTCTCTGATAAGTCTTTGAATGACATCCTTTGCTTTTAGCTGTCCTCCAAATAAATTCATGGGGTGTTGGCTGCTTCGGAACATCGACATCATCGCAGGGGTCGTCCTCTTTGTTGTCCTTCGCTGGTAGGGACCAGCCCCGAAGCATCCAGAAAAAGCGACCAGCCCCGAACGCTGCGGTCCGCCGCGAGCGCACCGGGAGACGCCTTTGTGATGGCGTGAAAAATGCCGGACGGCGTGGCGAGATTCTCGAGTGACACATGTCGGGTGGCTTGAGTTAGTTGACTGCTATTTGTTTTTTGCGAAATGGATCTGACATCTGCTGGACCTAAAAACATCAAACAATTTCTAAAACTTCGTCACTTTTTTCGCATTCTTGTTTCTTTTTTCGCATTTCTAAAACTCCGTCCGAGCGAGTCGACCGTCCTGAGGTTCGGACGGCTGCTGCGCGTCTCCCAAGGTAGGAGAGGGAAGAGGTTTGGGCATGGAAAGGAAGGACGTCGTTTGAGTCGAATGAACGTTTTCCTTTGTTTTTTTTCGGAGAAATGGAAGGGGCAAAGAACTCATAACCGTTGGAAGCATGATGAACCAATCCTACTCATCGGACTCCTGGGATGGAGTGGAATCGATTTGGAAGAGCAGGGGTCTCTGCACGAGCTGAGGGGATCTCTTCAGTCACGACGCACGTGACTTTTTGCTACAGTGAGACGTTTTCCCATTCCTTTCCGTGCTTTCCAGTCCATCCAGGCTTTCTTGGATATAGACCATTAGATCAAGATACATCAAGATACTGTGCCGCGTGCATGCCAGGGTCATATCGTTGGACACAAGACACAGGATCGTTGTTTCCCTTGTGCCATTGCAGCGAAGATGCTTTGGACCACACGACCGGTTTTGTAGACAAAATAGAGGACCTCCCCAATGCCACTAGACAACACGCAAACAACAGATAGTCGAAAACCACTGCATCATGGTTTTAACGGATGCACGCCAGGTGTGTTGGAGAATATTCCATTTTCTTCTGCACACCTTTCAACCAACTGCATCACTCTTGCACCTGTTGGCCAGGTCGCAGCGTTTGCAGGAGCTGGCGCATGTCCTGGTTCCAAAGTGAACGTTTGGAACTTGCCATCCCTCGGAAGGATCAGATCACTGGTTCCTAGCGTTCCCACAATGGCCTCTGCTTGATGTGTTGGGTAGGGATTTAACAGCGCTAGAGAGCTGACCATAAGTTGTTCTGATGGGTTGAAGGAAGCAACCAGAGGTTTTGGTCTGATTCAGATGGGTACAGCACAAGAACTGTTCCCTCAACGCTGCAGTTCAGAGTCAAACAAACCAACGTCTCTTGGGAGACTGAAATTCCCAGATGCGGAGATGTTGTAGACTTCAAAGCGTATTCAGTATTCACAGCCAAAGTGGTTCCAAAAAGCTGCCCAATCATCTTTTCCTTCGGAGCAAAGCTCTCCAATCTCCAAGTGCTTGGGCTTTTGACGTAGAGGTTGGACCACGAGCACCGGAACAACCGGAGCCAAAAGGGGAGCATGAAGGGGAACCGATTTTATGCGCTTTCTTTGGTTCTTGCAAGTGGGTAGATTGGTTGTCAGACAGAGAAGCATCTTCTGGCACAGACCGCAAAAACCACCGGAAGCTCCTGCCGAACACCGCATCTGGCCACACTTCAAGCTCGCGAATTCCCCCAGTGCACCAAGCTAGAAGATTCCCTCGCGATCTGGCGCGATCGGCCAGCTCGGCTCTTCCTGATTGCCCTTCGTTGCCCAAAACCACCTTTTGGAGGTGGGGCGACGACGGTTTCACGCGACGCGGGGCGTGGGGAAGCGTGGGGAACGGGGTGTTCCAAAGAACGACGAAACGGGGAGCAACGTGGAGTGACCCTGATTTCGAGGAAAGACAGTGGTTCAAGTGATTTCAATTTTTCTAAACACTCGATGGGGTGAGGCACGTCCGAGCAGTTTTGACCACTTCATTGCCTTGATACATATATATATATATATACACACTTATTAATTTGTTTACTATTTTCTTCATGGCCATGGCCATTTTTGATTTCTCTGGCTATCCGAAGTGTTGCCTTTGGCTAAACGCCAGCAAGAGTGACCATTTTGGCATAGCAAAAGCTTTAACATCGGCTTGACAACTCTTGATGGCATGGGACATGAATCCAAGTGGATTGTGGGGGATGCTTAGCTTGACCTGGACTCGTCCCAATGATTTTTGACGGTCTTGAATCTGAGATCAGCATGTTTGACACACCTTGCAGGCAAATCTGCCCTTCTGAAGAATTCGCCGGATGCTCAGCCTTGGACCAAATTGATTCAAAGGTCGCTGATTGCGCAACGGACGCCCCCGGTTTTTCAGCGGGGGCGGGTTTTTCTATTTCTCCAAACAAAACAACTTGATCCTCCGAGAGGGAAGAGGACTTTTATTTTCTTTTAATCATCAAGTGCTGGGCGCGCAATCTCTCACTTTCAAATCACTTTCAGAGTTGAGTGCTACAACCCTCGAAGCAGGCAAAAACACAAGATCTAACACACCCCTTGGTTTGATTTGTTTGATTTATGCTTGATTTTATGGTAAGTACAAAGAACCTATGATGTCTTTCCCGGTCTTTCCCACGTCGTTCCGTCTTTCCCCACGTCTTGCGCTTGCGCCACCCAGCGAACGACCCCACCGAGCGAACGACCCCGCCGAGCGGAGGTGAAGCACCGAGCCGGCGAGCTCTTCCAGTGAGCTCCGAGCAGTGTATTGGGGAAAAGGAGGCCGTTGGAACATCGATTGGCTTGGCAATACACATGTCGTAGGTTTCTACGGGATGGAGAGCTTTCACTGGGATTTTCGGATGTTCTTCTTGGAGAGTTCTTTTTGGAGCAACCACTCGAAGATGTTAGTTATTTTTTGGAACCATATCAGAGAGGGCAGAGGGCAATGATGGTAGAGTGGGTTCTAGGAAGGTATAGCACTACTTGAGGCTATACAGGCTTTTTGATGAAGACCTATCTTGAGAAGTTTCTACGATTTCGGTGTTGGGTCTGGTCCTACAGTTTCCCCAAGAAAGAACTAGATAGTCATGCACCAGTGCAAGCTCTCGGCGGCCAAGCCCAACCTGTTAAGTCTTCTTCTTCCAATACTTTTAAGGCTCTTAGGTTTAAGGCCATCGCCCTTAGGTTGGAGGGCAGGTTGGAGGCCATCGCTAGTAGGTTGGAGGCCATCGCTCCTAGGTTAGTTGGTATACTCATAATCAGTCCAGGGGGGGGGTTTGACCCGGGAAGTCTCCACCCGGTGATGCCCGAGCATCAGAGGTACCTGACCGTAGCCCTCACACTTGCACAGAAGGCACGGCACGGGCGAGCGACCTGACCAGATGAGCAGAGAAGTGTCACGGCCATGATTCGGTCTTTGAATCGTTGGTTTTCTTGAGCCCTCTATTTGCTGTTCCACGGGTGTTCGGTGTTCTAAGCTTTGGCAATGGGCTTTGTTCACAAGAATCTTGTCATGATTAGTTGCACCAAGCCACAAAACTCTTGCGTGGTTTAGATTTAGAAGGCTGTAGCTTGACTTAGTGAACCAACCTACCGCTTCTTTGGCTTTCTGATCCTTTGGTCTTCATTCCACGGGTCCCAAAACAGAAGAGCAGATGGTTTCAGTGGCCCCCTCTCGAGGCTGCGGACGCTTCTTCCGAGTTTTTGGATGCGGCTGATCTCTGCGGCTCGCTTCGCGAGTTCCGTCCAGCGCGCTGGGGCGGTCTCCCCGCGATCTCCGCGCGGTCTCCGCGTGTCGCGCATCGCCGATGGGACGCTACGAACGGGGCTCCTGGCCTTACTACTAGGAAGGACGCTGAACCGTAGAAAGGGAATGACCCTTGTGGATCCTCGTCACCCCGTGATAGACTTGGAAGGGGACAAGTTCCAGGAGGTGACCGTGTGACTCATGTGAGAGGGGCTTTTCAAGTTCACTTCTTCACCTAATCTTCTTTGGTAGGAGCCATGCTGGATGGAACAAAGTCGTATTCAGTGTATTCAGAAACTGCGCTGTATTCAGAAACTAGTCTTCAGAAACTATTGTTCGTCGTATTCAGAAACTATTTTCGTCGTATTCAGAAACTATTTTCGTCGTATTCAGAAACTATTTTCGTTGTATTCAGAAAGATTTTTTTGTCGTATTCAGAAACTATTTTCGTTGTATTCAGAAACTATTTTCGTTGTATTCAGAAACTATTTTCGTTGTATTCAGAAACTATTTCGTCGTATTCAGAAACTATTTTCGTTGTATTTATACATTATTTTCGTTGTATTCAGAAACTATTTTTCGTCGTATTCAGAAACTATTTTCGTTGTATTCAGAAACTATTTGTCACATTCAGAAACTATTTCGTTGTATTCAGAAACTATTTTCGTTGTATTC